CTTGGTGCAGCACTGGTGTGGGTAGGGAAGCACCTGTGAGATCAGACTGCTCTTTCCAGCAAGGAGGAAAACAGCCGACTGAACTCCTCCTTCCTACTGACAACCAAGGCATGTCACCCTCCATGCTCCACGTCCAATCCACCTTAGGTTGCCCAGTTCCTTCCTGGATCTGCCTTAAGACCCATCCTGCCAGTTACCTGCTCTCAAACAAAGCCCAGAGCCCACAGGAGCTGCTGCAGTTCAGCCTGGGGATGGATCCAGTCCTCGGCTGTCCACCCTTCAAGGGAACTTTTGGCAGAAAACAGCTCTTCTCCTCCCACCCACACAACTCCCCTCAGCAGACGGAAGCAGCCTCTTGTGTCAGCACTTACCTTATAGATGGAGATGGTGGATCTGTAGGACAGGTCCATCTCCAGAGCCTTTTCCCTCTCCTACGGAGAAGCAAGGAGTAAAGCAGAGCACAAGGTGCTATACTAGCCTGGACAACTCAGCTTCTGTGCAGCCGGCTGGATGGAAAGAGCCCGTCACTGGCAAGGTGGGACAGCAAGAAGACACAGACGTGGTACAAAGGGAACAGAGCACTGCTGGAGTTTAATAATTCACTAGCTAAGAGGCTGGAACTTGATCCCTGGAAGTAACCGGACTCTGGGGAGAGAGGAATCCTGCAACAGCCAGCAAGGGCACGTGACCACCTCCTTGAATTATTGAAGGCCAGCTGGGTAATCAGCTCTCCCTGCCCTGACACCTGCGGAGCCAGCCACCTGCCCGAGCAACCATCCTATGGCTTGCTGCCTCTGTCACTGCTCCAAGGTGGCTCTCTCAGCCTAGCTGTGCTCATGGAGCATCCTCAGGTCCCTCAGATACAGCTTGTGATCACAGGCAGCCAACAACCGGGGCTGGAGGGAAACCTAAGGAAAGCTCAAAAGAGATTTCACCTCTTCCCTGCCTACTCTCCCCACACTACCCCAGGCCTCAGCCTTCCAGCTCTTACCATCCCTCTTGCTCCTAGTCTCAATGACTCCCTAACTGCAGCCATGAGCAGGTGCCTGAGCCCTCCTGCTCTCCCTGCACAGGTCACTCTGGGAAGACCCTGCAGGTGGTGCAGAATTATAGAAGGGGAGAGTGCAAGCTGGAAGGAGGAAGAGGCTCATGTTCCCCCATCCCAAGATGTGGGGTTTTGTTTTCCCACAGGAAGGTAAGCCTCTCTGTTAGAGAGGAAAAAGAAAAATTTACTCCACATTGAAAGCCCCTTCATTCCACAATCTCATTTGTGAAAGTGAAGATCAGAAGGCAGATCATCAGTTCTCAGCCCTCTTCACCACTGAGCGCCACACTCCTGCCAGCAGAGTCTCTTGGGAATCAGTGGGCAGTAGGTCCAGCAGGCTTGCAGCAGTTACCTTGTCCAGAAACCACCTGGGGGTACCAAAGCTAAAGCCCTGTCTCTCAGTCATTTGCATCCCAAGGGTTTTCAGTGTTCCTCTTTTTAGGTCAGACCAACTTCAAGAGGATTCTCACATGGGAGCTGGTCCAAGGCTTCTACGCCTGCTCCCAGGGCTGGCTGGCAGAGACATACAAAGGGTACAAGCCTGTGTGTCTCAAGGAGCCCAATTCCTGATTTTCTGCCTGTAAAAAATTCAGAGGCTGCAAGCTCAGAACCCCTCTGGAACTCTGTAGGATGGAGAGAGAAAAAAAAGACAACCAGGGACTGCATGACAGTAGAACCAAATGCAAACCTCTCTTTATTTCAGGTCATGTTAGTTTTACATAGAAGCACTGTTCACAACAGCAGTCTCTCCAGTCAAAAGCAAACAATTAAGAATTCAGTTTTTCAGGTTACACCTCATAACACCTCCAAATAGACACATAAATATTTATAAATATTAAAATTTACTGCAGAAACAATGACTGGTGTAGCATTCATAATGGAATTTCAAGCAGCAAAAAAAGTAAATCTAAATTATCACAGGGTCAGTTTCTTTGGTGGTAACTGATCTCCAAGCATTTCAATTTCACATTAAGAATAAAACCCACTCTCTCCTACCAAGCCAAGGCTGGCCTCTCATCTTGAGCCTCCTGCAAGTAAAGATAGGCTCTCACATCTCAGTCTTGAGATCCCACCTTGAGCACAGTCAGGTACAGTCAGGGAAATGGGAAGGTGCTACCAAGTCAATTGGCTCAGGAAAGTTTTGCCAGTGGCAACATTCTGTGTTGTCTCTACTGAGTGTATCTATCAGTGTCTCTGCTCCTCTTCAAACCAGGTGTGTTAAAGGATAAATAATCCCTTTTCCCCATACTACACATTCCAAAACACCTTGGCCCCAGTGGAGCAAGTAATCACTGAAGCTTTATCTAGCCTTGGCCTGTTCTGTGATATGGGAAGGTGCATGGTGCTTTGTCACCTGCACAGACAGGAGACAGACTCCAGCTGCTACATCTCAAGATGG